TACAGCGCCATCTGTCCGCGAAGCAATAATGTCGATAGTTTTGTCAAATACAGATCCCGAGCATTCAAATGGGAAAGAAGAGTTACAAACAAACATACATACATATATACATACAGGTCAAGCGTGTAATAAAAAACAACGTAAGTAATCTAGGGCTTCATGAAAAACAAGAGAAAGATCTTTCTCTTAAAGATGATCACTTGGTGATCGAATCACGTGTCGAGGTGTTAAAATGAAGGTTTGGTGTTGGGAAAAACACCAGTAATATTGACTTCCACAAATGATAAAAAATACAGAGACAGTAATAATGTTTAAACACAAACTAATTGAAAACATCAGAGATCAACCCAATGTTATTTATAAGGCATACAATATCAGTGATTAGTTTCATATTCATGTGAACTCGTTTTCTTCTTCTTGATTTTAAATAAATACTTGTATATATAGCGACACCCTAAGAGTGTTAATTTCATAGTTATAAAGGTATTTTGAATCTTAAGTGAATGTATTTTGAATAAGTTAAATGTTTTTTCAGGGTATATTAGGAATTCCTATTTAAATAAACTACTACTACTTCATAGTATGATTATTTTAATATTTATATTTTCTACTATGTTAATCCACATTTAACTACTCTGATGAGCATTTATGTGGTCACCCATAAGGAACGGTATTTTGCTTTAATGATGAATAAAATTACTTACCTAATGATATATTGAATATTCTTAGCTTTTTTGTTACTTTTACCTCCTTCACTGAATATTTATGTAGGTATACCTAATAACTAATTAAGAACTTTCCCCTTTTTTATTTTCAGGTCACGAGTAATCAAACATCTCCATTAGTTCATAACCTGCAATGTTGGTAACAAAATAAAAAAAACACTCACCTCATTATCCAAAACAGTTGCTATAACTTCAACAACTTGCGTTCCAAAATTGGGGATACATTCTAAAGCGCACAATTCTTCCAGAAGGTTAGGCTGAATATAGTGAACCATCTTCCTTATCAATCCCAGACTAGCTTTTCTCACGCTCGGTAACATTGTCGACTGAAAAGTCATACAAAATACCGGCAGCAATCTTTGAAGATAAATGGGAGCCATCTCTGGATCACCCCGAGGTTCTATTGAATCTTCACTTTCAAACTCTGATTTTTTAGCTCTTTCTTTATCAACTGGAACCATCCACTCCCCTGGACTCTGCAAAATTGTCGCCACCTCTCTGTGTCCTTCATCAGCCCTCTCTCTGGCTTTATCCAGAGGCGTCTTCCCATCTTCATCCCTCAAATCGGGATTTGCTCCATGGCGTAATAGTACCTTTGCTATAGCCGGACGGCCGAAACAAGCCGCATAATGCAGTGAGGAACTGCGTTGTCCTTTATTAACATCAGCTCCCTTATCACAGAGATATTCGACCATTTCTTGAGTACCGAAAGCTGCGGCCCAGTTCAGGAGTGTTTGCCCAACATCGTCCATGAAATTAACTTCAACTCCTCCATTCTCGATAGCTTCAATCAATGCATCCGTATCCTTGGACCTGATACAATCGATAAGTTGTCTATGTGACTTTTCTGCTGCTGAATCCATTCGCCTAATCCTGGGCATCAGTTGACCAGAAGATCCGCCAGATTTTCCTAAGGCTTTGCGACCTTCAAAGAGCAGTACCAAGAGTAAATCTACCAGCCGCATTGAATCCAAAACACAACGTTCATCTCCTTTTAAGGATTTCTCGATGGCGTCTAGTAGTTCAGATCTCAACAGATCCTGTAATTAGTCAAGACTGAAATGTACTGGAAAAGGCACTACCATTTTGACTTACATATGTTATAGTGGGAGACCCTCTGCATAATGTAGACAATAGGCTAATTATTGTAGAAACAGAAGCTGCGTTGGCTTTGGAATCTGATGTTGCAGCAGCGGCTGATGTGGCAGATGGTTTACCTGGAGTGCCTTGTGTTCCACTAGCAGTTGTAGGACCAGCAGCACTTGAAAGTCTACTGAGGAGTTCATTCACCAAACCTGCAAAATATTTGCAGTAGATAGTTGAAAACTTGACCAAAAAAACTACATATTCACTCTAGCAAAACCCTTACAAACAATTTTCAATCTTTCTTTATCTATTGTAACCTTTTCGGAATTCTGGAAACAAAGTTTTCCAACTCCAATCCACAAATCTGGAGATAGAGGAAACATTAAAAATTACCGTCCAGTGAGCAAGCAATCAGAAATTCCCAAATTACTAGACTGTTTGATAACTAAAAAACTCACATTCGATACGAAAAACATAATAAATGAACACCAACAAGGCTTTATATCTAGTAGATCTACCACTACAAATTTATTGCTATATCAACATTTTCTTTTGAATAACCTAGAAGAAAAACCAGGTTGACTCTATTCATACTGATTTCTCTAAAGCCTTTGACAGAGTAAATCATAGTCTTATCATGGCTAAGCTTCTAGTATAAAGCATCAATGGTAACATGTCAAAATGGATAAAGAGCTATTTGGGGAATGTTATATATATGATGGTTCCATATCATCACAAATTTCTGTAACGTCTGGTGTTCCTCAAGGATCGCATATAGGCCCAATACTCTTCATTCTTTTTGTAAACAATGTGTTGGACATCGTTGACCATAGCTATTACTCAACGTTTGTAGACGATCTCAAACAGTATATGGTAGTAGATAACTTTCATGATGCAGAACTGTTACAGCTAGACTTGAATAACTTATCTTGTTGGTGTGATAAAACATGCTTCATTTAAATATAAATAAATGTTATCAAACGATATTTTCAAGAACTGTGAAACGTATTGTATATACATACAAAATCAAAAACATTAATCAAATGTTAATCAAAAGCGTTCGGGACTTGGGAGTGTTATTTGATAACAAAGTAACCTTTAAAGGTCACATTTATCGCAATGTATCTAAATCACTCAAATTATTCAGATTTGTTCAAGTAGAATGATAAGGAACTTTGAAAAACTCCAACACTCTGGTTCTTCTTGAATTTACAATAAAGTCAATCTGCTGTGATACATACGGACAGTTTATATCACCGTTTACAAGTTTATGAAGAAGTCCTAAATCAATTTCAGCTCGACGGTGCTCCAAAGTGGATAAATTCAAAAGTAGCAGAATATCAGAATACTCATAATCTGCTCTCTGATGTTGAAAACGGACTCTCCAAGAAAATATACAGATATAATATTATCGATAGTATCTTACCGTGCTGTGCAAGTGGAGCTGGATCCACGCCTCTCCTAGTGAATCTGTCTGCAACAGAAGCAAAACATCTCAGTGCGCCATCTGCAACGTGCGAATCCTCGTGTCTCAACAAGGTGCTGAGGGCGGATACACATGTTGGTAACTGTGTATCGGCCGGTTCCATTTTCGTGCACAATCTGGAAACCACCGCCATTGCCGAATGTAGAGTATCCTTGTGTACTCTTTGGCCGTTGTCGCGAATGAAGGGCAATATGCAGCTTAATCCACCAGCATCGAAAACTGAACCTGCTTCTCTGGTACATATCAATTCTAAAACCTGTTTGATAGAAATCGTTGCATTAGAGTCTTGAATGCAAAGACTGGGCTAATAATAAAATGGAATACTTCATTCAAACTAACACAGTATCGAAACGAAAGTCATTCTTTTGAAGGAAATCAGTGTTTCTTAGCAACCTTTTTTTTGGTATTTTCACCTTCAACAATCTGAAAAATATAAACATTGCAAATTTTATTGTTTACTCCAATAAGTTACTGCGTAAATTCAAAGTATTTTGCTCTATTCATCAGTAACCTGTTGTATTGCCTACAAAAGAAGCTAAGAAATTATACAGATACATCCAAAAAAATGTCGATAAAAAATTAACACAGTAGTTATTTAAAATAATACTTTAATTTCCATTTGACAGTTTTACATTTTATGAATAGCCTTTAAATAGGATGGATATTCATGTTATATACTTTGTTGATGTGAATGATCTATATGTGAATGATCTTCCTAACATGAATATTGATGGTAAAATTACACTATTTGCAGATGACACCACTTTATTGTGGCTTGGAAAGGATTTGGTTTCCTTGAAGAGTACCATTAAAGCTGATTTAGAAAAAATTAAGTATTGGTGTGACTCAAACTCACTATGTTTTAACTTCAGCAAAACTAACATTCTATCATTAAAATTTGTGCACGGAAATTTCTGCCTTCAAACTCATATGATAGAAAATAAACAATCTGCTAAATTCTTGGGAATTTGGATTGATAACCTTCTGAAATTTGAAGATCATATAAAATATCTGAACAAAAAACTTTCATCTAGCTGTTATGCCATTAGAGTTATCACTAAAGAACTGGGAGCAACTGCTGGTAAAACTGTGTACTACGCTTTAATCGAATCTCACTTGAGATATGGTGTCGCCTTCTGGGGGTTTTGTAGCAAACAGTTACTACAATCTGTTTTCGTTTTTGCAAAAAAGAGCAGTGAAATTCATCTACAAAGCCAATATTAGGGACCATTGCAAACCCCTATTTATCAATAATAAATTACTGACTGTACACTGCATTTTTATCTTGGAAACAGTCGGATCTTGTCTAGAGCTTCGACGGCCTCTACAAAGCTCTGCGCAGCCGCGGCTGCTGCAGCCTGCGAACTGATTATCTTTGCACTACGATTCGACTTGATTATGTTCGAGTTTGAGTTATTTGCCGACAAAGTTTTCTGAGACTCATTGTTCATAGTTGGTTTCGTGTCGCACAAGGTCAGGCTCTCTACTATCGTAGCTAAATCTGTGGAATTGTTGATGGTCGAGAGATCTGGATGGGGGTCACGTAGAGGATGAACGACAACCGACATTTCGCTGTCATTACTAGCAGCTTGCGACTCGCTGGTAACGGATACGAGGGCTTCATTGCGAGCGACAGACAAAACGCTTTCCGCTATTGTTTCGGCTGCCTGCTTGGCGGCTAAATTATCCGCTGATGCCGCTTGTTCCGTAGATGCTACCGAAGCCTTGGTATCTGTAGCCTCCGGAAGGCTAGGGGTGGAGCTGCTTTTTCTGCTTGTGAGTACGCTCTGCTTGTCTTTGTCATTTTTCTGCTTATTGCTCGAGGAATATTTCGATGAGGAGGCGGATGCTTCGGCATCGTAACCGGGGGCTAGTTTGATATCGAATTTTCCTTCGGCTCCCATTCGGTATGAATTGGAACCGCCGTGGTCCCAAGTAATGTCTATCCAACCGCTGTGCAATTCCCCTGTAACAGTGCCTTGAAATGAAAAAAGATTAAAATGTAGCAAGTCATTTACCCAATCATTATATGGTATGACTGAGACTGTCGTAGATTGACATTTTCTAGGTATATTATATTTCTCATATTCCTACAGAAAGAAATAATAATAATTAAACAATTCAATCCATTCATTTGTGATGAGTATATACAGACACAGTCCGATTACATATACACAGTCCTATAAAAACTACTCTAGACCTAACTCAACATACATATACTCGTAAGACATACATTAAGAATATAGAAGATAAAATAGTGCAATAAGGTGAGTTAATTAGTAATGATGATAGAGATGCAGCTCAAGTTTAGATGATGTAATGTTGAAAATTTCGATTATGACGCCTGTGACTGAGAGGCAGTGGTCGATTGGATTATTTGACTTAGGAGTTTTGGAACATTCAATCTATGCGTCTTGGCAAATGTCAGGTACATTCAGATCAATCAAACCAACGTATTTCAGAAAGGAAAATATTTTTTTGTTAGGATATTAAAAATAAATAAAACCTGAGAACTCATTGCATTTTTTTAAGGGAAATTAAATCAAAGTTAAGCAGCTGTTTTCATAAGGGAATAGAAGAGAGTTTAATTTGGTGAGAATGGAATACACCGTGAGAAAAAAAACGGGTTTTGATAAAAATGAAATTACTTTAAAAAAAAGAAAGCAGAATGTAGATATACATAAATTATACGATAGAAAAAACGACTGATTTCCGGCTCGAAGAACCAACAATAATTTATTCAACGATAGCGTTCATTAGCGTGTTTCTCCTCTAAGCCCAAATTGCAGATATTGGAGTTGTTGCGAACACAGGCCTGCGGCGAATGTAGAAAGTTTTGAAATTGTGGCGTTTTTATGAGAACGATAACAAACAATTAGTGGTAGCACGATTGGCTCTTCTGAATTGGAACTGTCTTTACTTTTTATTCTTCTTTTATTCATCGGATCGCGCATGCGTCGATTTAAATAGTCAATATTTTTGTATTTCAAACAGTATAAACCGTGAAAAGCATTCGACAAAAAATGAAGATCAAAATAATAAAAAAGTATGCATAAAATTAAAAGTAACCAAATAGTAATTTTGACAAAGAAATACAAGTTACATTCCTTAGAGAAAAATTATAGACAGTTATTTGGATTATAGAATTCAGTATGTTAAATATGCTGGTTCCATATCATCACAAATTCTTATAACATCTGGTGTCCCTCAAGGATCGCATATAGGTCCAGTACTCTTCATTCTTTTTGTAAACGATGTGTCAGATGTCATACGCCACAGCTATTATTCAATGTTTACAGTTGTGCATCTCTGTGTATATGTATTTTAATTTTAATACTAAGGATATAACGACGTTGTAATGTTTCATTTACAATGAATAAATTGATTGATTGATTGATTGATGTATTATATTATGTGATATCAGACTGTGTATACAAACCTACTTGTGATCTACCTTATACTCCGTAATTGGGTTACAATACAGAATAAATAAATGCTTATTTTATTGCATGAGAAATAAATCTAGAAAAATTCACCACGATCACTCATTTTCCTGATAAAATAAACTGAGAGATCTAGAAGATATCAATAAACGTCGACTTTGTTATAAAACAAGCCTAAAAATACTCACCCTCACCAGGTGGGTTTCCGTCTTGATCTCTCCACTTCCAATCTACCCCTCTGACTACTCGTGCACCGACGGTCATATGTTTCAACAGCTGCGATTTGACGAGTCTTCTCTGTTTCCGCAAATGAGCCTCTTGTTCCTTGTGCGCTTTCCCCATATCTTCGTACACGCCGGTGACCTGCCCGTATATCTCGAAACCTGACAAACTCAGGTAATGTGTTTGACCGGAAGCGTTCTTCCCGGCCTGTTGAATTCGGACGTGTCTCCATCCTTGCGTTTCGTCCGAGGGTACTTCCAAGGGCCAAGTAGCGGTACTTCCAGGATCGTTGAGTGACATATCGTGAGTGTGAGTGTAAAGCGTAGTCCAAGAGTTGCCGTCTTTCGACATTTGGAAGTGCCAGTTTCTCAAAGCGGAGCGTCCGTAACCTCGAGCGTGTCTCAGGGTGTAAGCGGTGGGAATCATATTGACACCTAGATCTATACTGAACCAAGCACGTTTGTCATCATTGGTGTGACAGTTTAGTGCTGAAGAATCTCTCGATAAAACATCCTCGACTCTCCCGTAGGGCAGATTTCGTGCGTCTGAACTAGTAACGGCTACCAGGCCGTACTGACCGGGATTGACCCATTCGGAGCTGGTTTTCCCATTGGTACCTATAAAGTAAATCAATCCGTTCTCGTCAAAGTCGTGGGTATGCTTGAAGGTCTGGTATTTTATCTCACGTAATTTCTTCAGGAACTGGAACGAGCTACGGTCGTAGTCGTACCATTGTTTTGCTACCATTTTCAACAAGTACCGTTCTAATTGTGCTACAGTCGCTAGAGGTTCCATCTTGAGTCCTCTGCCGGAACGGTCAATCAGAGCGCTTTCTCCCGACCCCTTCTCCAGCCTAAATCGCAAACGTCTTGTCAATATTTGAAGCCCGTAACCTGTACCTGGAGTTTCGTAAAGGTAAATGGGAAGTTTCTCGATGCTTTCGAGCACGGCGATGAGTTTGTGTACCAGGATCAAAACCGAGTCGTTCTCTTCGTTCGATCTGTTTTTGAAACAGTGTTTGAACACTTGGACTCTTTGTTTCTGAAATTTGCTCATTTTGCTTGATTTCAAGCCTTGATCCCAGTAGCTCGTTGATAGTAGTGAAAGCAATGCTTGCACCAACCCAGAACTGTGTAGTTCGTAGGCCGATACCACTCCGTCTTCTTTGAGGATCTGAGTCAGGTCGTCCAGAGCATTATGGAGAATTTCTTTCCATGAATTACCACCTTCTCGGTTGTTACCATACGAGCACTGTTTTTGACATGCACGTTCTATCTGAGCTACTATGTTGCCCAGCTTGGCGACGATACCTCTTGGCTGAGCTTGGGCAGCTCTGAAATGGTGTTCATAGATCTGATGCGCCAGATATTTAACTTTCATTTTGTTAGCTTCGAGTTTCGATCGAAGACGTTTACCCTTCTTGTTTGTCCATCCTGCCAGAAATTCCGGACCTACAGTTTGACAAAGTGAATGTAATGTCAGGAGCAGACCAAACCATCAGTACTTACCCAAACTGGTTTCGGCGATAAAGGAATGTTTTGTGCCCCTGTTCGATTCGAAAATAAAGCCTGGTAGATCTTCTCGCAGAATTGTGGTCTGCTGTTGACCGTCAGAGTTGTGTATATGAATTTCGGCATCTTTTTTGGAGGTAAGTGACCAATTTCCTACTACCAATTTCGTTGGACCAGGCTTTGACAATAACGGCGTGGAATTGTTGGTAGATCTAACTGCTGCTCGGGCTCGTTGCAGTTTTTCTAGAAACTCCCCTCGATTTTCTGTCAAATAGTTTATCAAGTGAAAATGTAATATAGTAATGAATTTTTGGTGTTAATAAACAACAAACGTTTGCACCAGAGTTGTGTCATTGATGGATACCTTTCAGAAGACATTCAGAAATTAAAATGACTCCTTTTTCAACATATTTATCATTATCTTCTTACTACATCCCAACCACCCTATATAATGGCTGTTATGTTGTTTATTGACCTTTTCTATTCATACTCGAAGTGACATGGATAAATAAGATCAATGCCAATGCTGACTTTGCCGAATCGACATCTGGCAATAGGCAGTTTCCAAACGCAGACACATAGGACTTTTATTTACTTTGTTTTAGTTTAGGATATATAATCATTCATTTTCATATATACGTCCTGCGTGGCGAAATGAGTTCAGTTATGATTGTAGTTATAATACATTTACATTAAAGTACGTTTATAGTTTCTGTTCAATGGGGAATGTTCCTCAATTTGGGTTATTACAGCAAATGCAAGTTTGAACAAAATAAAGTTGAATTTAATTCATGAGTTTTTCAAATTCACTTCGAAAAATATTCAAATTGATGTTTCAAATGTTGGGTTTCTATATTTCAAAAGTGAGATATAACATGGATATTGTACATAACATCTATGATTATGAATTTCATCAGCCTGGAGCTACTTGTCTTTGAAAATCAATTTCAATTTTACCTAATATCTTTTTTCTTCCTCGAGAAACTGGGTTTTGAAATCAAGTACTTCACCTTTTTCAATGTTTAGAGTAATAGATCATTTTTCACCCTGATGATTATTACTGTTCAATTTCGATGGCCTACCCTGTACATATTATTACTTCAAAATGAAAATTATTAATTGAAAACTAACACAACAGTGTTAAAGATAGCCACTGATCTCATTATTACTGTAAATTGTAGTAGCCGTTTCTTCTTCTAGTTGACATGAAGAAATAGACTCCACCAAAATAAAAGGCATTATAATATCCATAAATTCGTGAAGCAAGTAGAACATAACTATTTTTAGCATGAATATAACAAAAACTCAATATATGCTGAGAAAAGAAAGCTCGTTTAAGCTCCAAAAAGCAAGATGTGTATGGGAAAGATAGAAAGAGAGATCTGCAATAGTGGAAAAAGCTTTCTTACCTTCAGTGGTGAGAGTGTCTGCAGCTCGGCCCTTGCCTATATTCGAGACAAACAAATAAACATCACAGTTAACAAAATGCAAATATAACAAAATATACACACAAACTCTTTTTGAAAGGAGGCGTTAATCACAAGAGTTAGTTATGTTATCAAAGAGGATAATATCAATTAATATTGCTTGAAATATGAATACACTGACCCTTTACTTGATGAAAATCAACAACAGTATAGTTTTCACAAAATGATTTATTCAACATGCATTTGACCGCAAGGTAGTTAGATTGTTACATCAAACAATTCTACATACAATGTCTTTTATAAAACAGTAAGTAATTATTGCCTGATTATTGGATAGTTCGGATTACTGGATTACAGAGAAAAAATCATAATAAATAAAAGTGTGTTATGTTTACGTTTGTTTGACATTTTTAACTACACACTATTCTCACTTCAAAACAACAGGTAAATAAGTAAGCACGTACACGAGATAAGTTTTGAGGTTAGACTGCTAGACGACGACGGAGTATACAGGTGTAGAGGAATTATTAATTATTGGCATTTTTTAAAAACAAATTCAGCAATTTATGATGCACTGTTTGAAACCTTCGGTGTAGTAATGAATATTATGTGTTATTTTCAACACCTCGACACGTNTCGACACCTTTGAATTGAAACCGACTTCGTGTCTACGTTACGTGGATGACACCTTCGTCATCTGGAAACATGGGAGAGACACTCTGAACCTTTTCCTAGACCACTTGAACAATCAACACCTAAGCATCAAGTTCAGTATGGAGACTGAGCAGGATCAGCGGATAGCATTCCTAGATGTACTGATCGAACGAGGTGGTGCTAGACTAATCCAAAAAGTGTATCGAAAACCCACGCACACGGATAGGTTAGGTTAGGTCAAAAGTGAGTGGGTCTATTCGACCCTCCACCGCAACCCGCAAGGGTTTATTGTGGCTCACACCTATTCAAACTCGACCAAATAAACCCAGCTTCTCAACAAAGTCGATAATTGATAAGAATGATATCGTTTAAATACAAAATTGATTTATTAAATGGAACCAAATGAGCAATGTACCAGGTCTAAATGTCTTGCTGAACACATAAATTCATCCCCGTTCAAACAAGGAACTGTTCTTTGACAAGTTTTTTCTGTTTCCATAATTACATTGCGTGTTATATACTGTTGTAAATTATCCTCTGAAAAAAATAACGCTGGCTGCCGCTGGTCTTTGCAATCTACTGGGACTTGGCCAAGGTCCCGCACAAGTCTACTTGTGCTTCTCAATTATTCTACGTGTCACGTCGCTTCGTAAATAATTCTATCGGTTTCATTTATCACATGAAATCCCATCATACTTAAAAATTACATGTGTGCCAGTATGAATCATTTTTGGGTGCACGAGGAAACAGAGAACTGGCATTTTGGTTGTTTTGCGCGCTGATGTTCTGCGAGTTGTTAGAGTTGGACACATTCGAAGCAGTGACTGAAGCCAGAGTACGACGTCTTGCTAGTGCTGCAAAAGTCTCGAGCAAGCCTGAGAAGTTCAAGACTATTTTTTAATTAAGTTGTGTTGGAACATCCACATTTCGATATGTAAATGTTGACAGAAAAAACATTATTAGTCATTAAACTGCATTTTCCCAAGAAACATACTAGGGAAAAAACAATGTAACAAACAAACAAAAGAAAGGATTCACCTGAAGAAATATATAATGAAATCTCCAGCATATTATGCCCAATTTTGGGAAAAAGACAAAAATAGAAAATTATGAAATTTTCTGCATCATTTTCTAGGAGTAAAAAAAATCAAAATAGGGTTTCAATTTGTTTTGGAACTTTCTTATTTGCAATGTCTTGCAGCTAAATTCCACCCCCTTTTTCCATCATGCCCCTCAAATAATGTCGATAAAAAAATCAAATTTGTTAAAAAAAAATTGTTACTGTCAATCTAAGCTATTCATTGAGGGGTGGTATTCTCCATGTACGTTTACTCAGGTGCAAAACATAAGTATAATTTTTAGCAAATCCTTTACAACCCATTTAAAAATTTCGGAATGAAAAATCTCACGATTTTTCGTGATATTTGATGCAAAAGTTATTATACTCTAGTATAGTAGCTGAAAATAAAAAAAAAAAAATTGCCTCCGAATCCTTTGAACATTCGATTTTCATGAAAATTTGATATTGATCGAGTTCATCCTACCTTTAACTTCAAAAGTAACATATGCCAGACGAGATTTTCATTTTCAAGTGGGGAAAACTACACCTTTCTGACAGAAAATGAAAAAAAAATTGGGGAAAAAGTATTTTGTGGATTGACATTATTCCTGTACTATAGTCTATTTCAAAAGAGTGTAGAGTAATAAATCATGAAGTGTCATAAAATTTGCCTGAATTTCGTTGTCGTCCATGGGCGTAGGCAAATCTTAGGATTATTAAACTTAATAATTAAAGTAAATTAAAAATTACAGACATAGATAATAATAAAAGGCCATTTTTGGGAAGTAATTTGGTCTAAAACTAAGTACCTACATGTATTTAGGTAAGTAAAATTTCTTAAAAAAAGATTAAGATTAATTTTAGTGGTTCTTGTAAACTTATTTAATATGCAATTTGGGTTCATATACTTGAGCATGATTTCTCAAAAAAGGGTTAACACTTAGTTCCGAGGTGCCATGTCATTATAATAATCCCTTTTTGACCCTGCCCACCAATCATGCAATACCTATTAAAC